AAAATAATCTCAATTGTCAGTTGAACACATTTCTTGGTAAAAACAAACAAACAAAAACCCCACCATCCTATGTTAGAAAATATCTGTTTCACTCTGTGGGAAAAACTGAATTCCATAGTGATGAGAAACTTCTGTGTCCATATCCACTGATTACAGTGTGATGGCAGTAATTAAAGCCAGTAATTACAGTTTGGATTATCAACACAACTTCTTCAGTGCACTGACACGTCCTGACTTGTAGGCTCCACCATCATCACAACCTCCGAAGAATTCCTTTAACTCTCTCGACAGAAAAGAAAGGGGAATTCTGGGCTAAGCTTTAATTCGGAAATTTCTTCTTTTTTTTGGTTCTGCAAACAAATGGACCCCAGCCTACTGTGGTTTGGTGCTTTAAAGATCAAGATTAAGAACAGAAAAATGCCGGTTCAAATCCCAGCCCTGACAGTACTTCAGTGGGTCAATGAATGACCAAAACGCTGCCTGCTCCCTGTGAGCTGTAAGGATAGTAACTGATGGGTTGGGTCTGTGTACATCTGTACACTGTTTCTCATCAATAGGATTCAATGATTCTGAAAATGAAAACATCTTTGGTTAGAAGGTGTAATACGTCACCAGAGAGGATGTCATGCTCTATATGGTTCGTTATTGAACAACCATCTACAACATCCACCATCATGAGTCCCAACACTGAGTAAATAGAACATCTTCATCTTCCTCCTCATCCTCAGTAGTATGTCTCTAAAACCCCGGCGTCCCTAATCATCTGGACAGCTGTGTTCTGAGTCAAAGGATCTGATTCTCCTGCTGCTCACAACAGGATTAGAGTGATAAAACCTTCATTGAACACAGAAGGATCAGTGTTCCAGGATTTGACATCTAAACAGTGATTAGCCTCCGACACAGAGACACTGAGTTAATCCAGGACTGGCCCTCAGCAGGAGATCTGCTCTGGTTCCTGAGTACCTCACAGCTGGAGAATGTCAGGAATTCTGTGGTTTTTTTACTGAGCAAATGAGGAGAATACAGTTGAGCTGACTTCACAACAGGAAGTAAGTGAAAAAGTCTGAGGAACCAGAGGAACCTTCAGCACTGCATTCAACTCCTCTGCAACATTTTTATCACCATCATCACCTTCATCATCATCACCATAATCAATATCATTTCCGTCATTACCGTCACCATCATCATCACCTTCATCACCATTACCGTCATCACATCATTATCATTATTTTCATCATCATCAATGTCATCTTCATCATCTTCATCACCATAACCTTCTTCATCATCATCTTCATCATCACCATCTTTATCCTCATCAGTAACTGTTTTCTTGACTTTACACTTCTATTGTTTTCAACAGTCTGGGTGAATTTACAGACATGTTACAGAAACAGGATCTGTTTCTAAGTTTGGACACAAACACTGACCTTCAGAAAGAGACAGAGAGTATCATCTGACCTGGACTGGAGAAAACACACAAACACACCAACAACAAATGTCTCTTCCTCTCATCTGCACTGCACGCACTGTGACATCACATCAGTGTGGATGACGGCCCCTCCCCCATCCTTTATGGACAGACAGTGATCCAGTGAATGGACAGGTGTCTCCCTGAAGGGACATGTCTCTGACACACTGTCAGACCAGAAGCACCATTCCATCACCTTCACGCCTTGTTTAATTACTACAACTGCTATCATCATGAGCATTGATAATGATGGGGGAGAGGGGAGACGGAGAGGGGTGAGGGACATCAGACAAAGACCCAACATTCATTTGAGGCCCACAACAAAGAGAAGATGAGAAGTGGAACTGTGGACAACAGGATGGCCCCGAGGCCGGGACACTGCTGTTAGAGTGTACAGGAGGAGGAGGAGCTTTTCCAGAGACCAGAGCATAGAGCGATGGGAGCAGGGGGAGGGTCCAACCAGTCCTTGACGAGGAGAAAGGGGAAATGTGTCCGGATGCAGGAGAATCGGCAGCATGAGAGGAACAGACCATAATTATCTGTGGACCTTTGTTCTGTGGAAACAAAGTCCGTTCCTGTTTTCAGCTGCAGCCACAGAGATGGACCGCGGCCCGAACGATTCTCCTGCTAAACTGTTTTCCACTTTGGGGTTACCAGGTCCTCTCCAGGCATTTCCAGATAAAATTCAAGGCTAATACCTGCCCTCTTAAAACAAAATAATGCCCGTAGATTCGTTTGCTGTGACACAGCTAGAGAGTAGCTGTGATGTAGCTAAAGAGTAAAATCCTGTCCTGTCCAGCCACAGGAGAGCTCCAGAACATACAGAGATGTTGCACGAGGTTTAAATGGTTCTACTGTTGCATTTCCTCAACCTTGACTTTAAACCTCACCCACAGAGATGGAAATTCAATGAGACAAAGAGCAACAACTGTTCTGCTACTGTTAGCAACAGGGTGATGGTCGAAGCAGGAAGAACAGGAGGAAGAGTTTCTCAGCTCTGACGTGGTTCCTGTTCTTTGTTAAAACTGATCAAGTTTAATGATACTGTTCTCTGATCAGTAGAAACCTGAGCCAAGAACTGCACCTCTGCTGAGAGTTCCATGTCTCTGCTCAGAATACAGAACACATCGCCACTGAAGAGAACACACAAAGACACAAAGACACAAAGACACAGTGAGCACAGGGACGACAATAACAGGAGTAACACAAGTCCACTGCTGTGAGACAAAACAGTTGGCACAAATGACAAGAATTCAGTGCTTGTGGCCCTGAACAAAGGCGCACACGCACACACACACACACACACACACACACACACACACACACACACACACACCTTCTGAGCAGCAGGTGTCCACGTTTGTCTTTACATAAGCTTCTGTCAAACTGTGAGACGCAGGAACAAGGACTCGCAGCTGCAACACAATGAAGACACTTACTGTCAAATACTACTACAGTAACTGCAGTAGCTGCAGGGACAACAGCAAACGTAGCCAAAAAGTACTAATGTAGAGAAGACAGCGTTGGAAAGTGCTAAAAGGTAAACGAGAAAACAAATCCACAGATAGCCAGAACAGCTAAGAGTTAGCTAATTATTAGCCAAATATTACACAAATGAAGCCACGGTAATTGAATTAATATCATGCACAACTCACACACATACACGTACACAAACTACACACAGAGAAATCTATGGAACAGTTGTCTGGTCTTCACAGCTGAACTGAAACTTTCCAACACAGATCTGTGTGTCTTCAAGGTTGAATGGACTGTGTGAACTAGAACAGTCCAGGAGCGCTCCTTTGACTGACTGATGAGGTCATGGGACTGTTCTTTACTCCCTGTTTAATCACTGACATTCTCTCTAACCAACTGACTGGAGGAACAGCAGACACTTCCTGCTGCAGGGCCAACCCAGAACAAAGAATAGGACCAGGAGGACAGAGAGGAGGAAGAGGAGGACCAGGAGGACAGAGAGGAGGAAGAGGAGGACAGTGTTTATGCAATACAGCAGTTTTACAAAGTGTTAGCAAAAGGCTGCAATGTCAAGAAAAGTC